CTCCTCCTCTTCCTTCTTCTTCTCCTCCTCCTCTTTCTCCTCTTCTTCCTTCTTCTCCACCTCCTCCTTCTCATCTTCCTCATTCTCCTCCTCCTTCCTCCTGCCCATACTCCTCCTCCTCCTCCTCCTCTTCCTCATGCTCCTCCTCTTCCTTCTTCTTCTCCTCCTCCTCTTTCTCCTCTTCTTCCTTCTTCTCCACCTCCTCCTTCTCATCTTCCTCATTCTCCTCCTCCTTCCTCCTGCCCATACTCCCCCTCCTCCTCCTCCTCTTCCTTCTTCTTCTCCTCCTCCTCTTTCTCCTCTTCTTCCTTCTTCTCCACCTCCTCCTTCTCATCTTCCTCATTCTCCTCCTCCTTCCTCCTGCCCATACTCCTCCTTCTCCTCCTCCCAGGCCCCACCGTCTCCGTCTGTACGCCTCGGCGCATGGATGCCAACAGCCGGCCGCCCTACCACCACCTACCCAGTAGAGCCACCGCCTCCGCCTCCGCCTCTTCCTCCGGCCCCGGCCCCGACTCCGGTCTACCACCTGCAGCCTGGCTCGCCTCGGGCCGCCCCGCCTTACCGCCTTCCTCCTCCTCCTCCTCCTCCTCCTCTTTTGCCAGCCTGACACACCCGGCCCACCCACAGCGGCAGCCGGCGGCATCGCTCCACTCCGGAACCACGCCCTTCCACGCCGCCACGGTCGGGCACTCGGAGCTCGCCTGTCAGACCAATCTGTCCTCCGAGCTAATGTTGATGATGCTGGCGGCGCGCCGGCAGCTCGAGGCCAGTCTGGCTCAGGCGCCCGCGACCTCGACCACCACCACGTCCGTCGAGCCATCTCACGAGGCCGGACCGGCCCGACTCACGCCCACCCTCAACAGCCACTTTCTGCCCGTCAACTCAGGCGTCGGCATGAGTTCCGCCAAGCGACCCGAGGTGCAAATGAACCGGCCTCTTGGCTGGCAAGGCACAGCAAACCCTGTCGACTGGTTGGCCGGCGGCCAACTTCAGCCCCAACTCCAACCCAGCCTCCAACAGGCGTCTGGGGCCTCAGCGTCTGCCAGTACGTCAAGTGAGACTGTGGAGGCGAACACTTTTGCCTCCTTGATGACACACGCCTATGCCGAATGGCTGCGAGTCATGTACTCACATCATCAGCCCCATCATCACCATCACCACCATCATCAACAGCATCACCAACAGCAGCAGTATCAAGAGCAGCAACAGCAGCATCAGAAGTTGGCGCAAAAAGCGTCAAGTGGAGGGGATCAGACGACACCCGGTGAGTCCGCACTTGGAGTAAAAACGCTCATGTTGTCCTGTCACTTACAAATTGGTTCTAAATAAATGCTATAGCCACTCTAATTTGCATAAGGGATGGTGATTGAATTTTTTTATTAAGTTAGCACCAACTTGCTGCCAACCAGGTTCGACCTCTTTTGGCTTCGGATAGGTCCTCCCTCGCTAATGCTTCCGCAACTATTCTAGCTGAAGTTCTTAAATATTACCATCAAGTTTTAGACAGTTCATTCGATTTCAATTGCAACCTCTATTTCTATTTCTTTTTTTTTCTGTTTCCATCCGGTATTTATTTCTATTTTCACTTTAGAAATATATAGTTTTTCTACTAGGATAAAATTACCTTTGCTGTCATCCATGCCTGTCCACAATTATATATCTTTGTAATAACTCTTCCTTCCCCAATCTGAAAAAAATAATTTTAAGTCTCTCAGTAGGTTCATCAATGGAGAGTTCGCACCAAAGTAAGATTCGAAACCATAAGTTAATCTTGAATAAGCATTCCAGTCACCTCAAGTCGCATACATTGATGTAGGAAGGATAGTTTAATTTTCACAAAGTCATATGAGTAGATCTTACTTTTTTTTATTAAAGTTAACATAGTTATCCTCAACTAGGAACGGCTATTTTTATAGTAAACCTACTGGGAGTTGGAACGACCGACCGACTTCACTTGTCTCTTTGACGAGTTGTTGTGTGGTGCAAAGAATGGCGATACTCACTGACGATGCCGACT